TTCATGTGTTAATTTCTCACATTTTATTCTTTAGTCACCTGATTTTCGTTCTTGCGTATAGCCTCTCGAATTGTGTGTAACAAGTGCAACTGCATCTGTGCCAGCAAATGTGCCTGCTCAGAAACCCCAAATCAGGTATATCCCTCTATAACCTGCTCATTTAGTAAAAACATATAAATGTCGAGGGAGTTATCAGTAATTTTGAAATTTTTGACTTGTCGAAATAAAAAGCCCTATTTTCGAGTTAACCTTAACGTGTTTGTTTTGCTCCATCATTTGTACTTTGTGTACTATTTCAGGTTTAGTTTCACCTCTTTGCCCAAGGCAACAGGCAACAGTGCCTAAGAATTATTTGTGGCGGGAAGCATACTTTATATGAAGACAATGTGTTTGGGTAATTTTTGTTGCTGATTATAATAATAAAATGTTTACTTTGTCCAGCGTACGATGATGTCTGGGCTAAAACTTGGCTGAGCGTTTTGTATATTATATGTGCATGAATATTCAACTGTATTATGATATTTTTCTCATAAACGATTAATGCAAATAAATTATTTCTCTTAATAAATCGAGCAATTTGGTTATCGTTTGCATTGAAATTTTTTAATTTGGGTTTTGTTCGGTTTTTGGTGTTGTGGTGAGGTTGGTTGAAAATTTCACAATAAAAAAAATTAATGAGCTAGTTTCTTATGAAACCATTTGAGTAATTGCCAATATATTATTTATAAATGATTGTGATGACTCTAATATTAAGTATCACGTCACCTTTTCCACAGAAAAAAAGGTAGTCAAATTATTTTTTCATGTTTTAATTAGTATATCTCAATTTGTTGATCCAGAAATTTTTTATGGCGCGACATATTTATGTTAGACTTGTAAACGAGATAAATTTTTGAAGTTCGGAAGTTATATTTAGAAAAGAATGTAACGTTATATTTCAATCGTCAATCGGTGTTTTTAATCTCCGACAATAAACCACAAAATTTCCATATTTTTGTTATTCACGTCGGTGAATTCAGCCAAAGGTCTCGATTGTCCAAAATCAACCGGTGAGCTTTTTTTTTTTTCTTCTTCTTTTTATGTGCTATAATATCCCTTAATCAATTTTATATTATGAATTCATATTATTTTAATCGGAGCTACAAACAATATAGTAAGGGTATAAAAAATATCTATAAAATTGAATATTATTAATATAATTTAATAGTACAAACAAGTATAAAAATAATACAAATGTATTTTTGCATTTGCATATATCTATATACTCAAAATAAATATATTATTAAGATTGAAATTCACAAAATCAAAATTGTCGTCAAACTAATATTATTTTCGCATTTCGCATTTGCATATATTATTACTTATAGGTTCATTTAGGATATTTAGTATTAGCTAAAAAAATTATTAAAATTGTCGTCGACCCGCCGGTTTCGGGTTGTCCAAATTGGTCCTAGTTGGTATAACTTACATATCGGATCGTTGGCAGCTTGTCGGTTTTGGGCCCGTAAATTTGTTTTAGGAAGTCCTAGACCTGCCTCGGCCATTCCACAGGCCCAAAACCCAAACTGTTTAGCCAGTTTGGAAATGGGCCGAAACCGAAATTGGCAACCCAACCCAATGGCCATGTCTACACTCTACATGTTGAAAAACAAGTAACATGTTGAATGGATTTCGAGTAGTCAGGCAAATAAATCAGTTTGGAGTAATCTAATTAAACAGACGAGCATTAGAAAATGTTTTTCAAACCAAATTCTTAGAGTTCAATAAAATCACAAAAAAAAAAAAAGAAAGAAAAAATTTATTTATTTAGTTACCATGGGACACATTAAAAATAACAGCCCAAAAATGGGTAAAAAGTTACAAACAAGACCGTGTCACATGAACTTCAAAACCTGTCCTCATAGAGAAATTGAGTCAAATGTTAAAAACCACTTGGTAGAACAAAATGAACTTAAAACACATGAACAAAAAGGATAAAATGAGATTAGGAGAATGTCTTCAAAGCATTCCTTAGTTTGTTTTTGTTCTTGTGAATAATACATGCACAAGATCGATTTACTATCGACTAATGCACCTTCCGAAAGCTTTGTCATTGCATTTGCAGTCTCGTTTTCGCGGCCTTTGACCTTCAAAAGTCGACCTTTTCTTCGTTTCTTGCCGTTCGGATACATATTTCGGAGATGTACACTCGGCTTGCTTTTCACGCCTAGATAAGTCAAAGTCAAACTAAATAAATCAAAGTCACACTCACGAGCTCTTCTATTATCGTGCATTTTGCAACCGTAACTTACTTACCGCACGACTTTCGTCTCCTTGCATCTCGTTTTGGCTTTTGCCTTTACTTCCAACTTTGTATTGTCCAAATCATACGAAAAAGGTAACGATTGTAATTTACGAACTTGATTAGATGTATCGATTTTGTTGTCAACAACATCGAGGTTTAGGTTTACAGGGGAAGAAGACCCTGCAATTTCCTGCCATAAAGAGTGAAAAAAAAAAAGAACATGAAAAAATGGAAAGGCGAACAACAATAGATATAGAGAAATTGTACAAAATATAAAAATTTACTGTCCTAAATTTGTCGAAACGTTAATTTTGATTTTCGTACTTTTAACCACCAAACTCTGACTATGTTTGTTTTGTGTGATCTGAATTATATGTTTTTTCTTGCACACTACTGCAAAGTTCTCACAATACATTTAACTGATGAAAAGTTCAAATTATTCTTATGATGAATATTATAGCAAAGAGGTTAAAGAATATTTCAAACCTCGATTTTGCTTAAACAGCCCGTGTCTAATTCACCAAACGAGCACGACATATTTTCATCATCACCAATGCAAAGATCATGTTCATTTCCGAAAAACTCCTCAAAGTTTCGAAATGTCAAGTCAACATCGGGTATATCCGAAGCATCAAAACATTTGACTTCTTCATAAACTCCTAGCTCTTGCATGTTCTGAAGCCATATCTGCATTAAACATTCTCTCATTTATCATAACTTGATAAAAATATGAAAACCATATATTTTTTGGTTAATTAGACTGAATAATGTAAAGGGTATATTCATAAACCTCATTAGTAGGCCAAAATGAGTCTCCTTGTAAGGGATTAATTACACTACTCGTGACATTTTCGAGCTGCGAAAATGGCGATGACTCTTCGGTTTTGTTTTCCAAATCAATATCAGAACCGAATATGTACGTGTGATTGTCGAGTTTTTGCATGGTGTCGTGCTTGAAAGGTAATCTGCACGTTCGCTCCTTGACATGTGTTAGGCTTGAATGGTCGAAAATGCCCTGCAATGGCTGTGTTTTTTCCAATTCATGGATTTGTTGCAGGATAATGTAGCTATTTTGTTGCCATTTATCATCTTTGGTTACCTACTATGAAGCACACAATCATGAGTAAATTC